TCTAATAATTGATATATTAGCTTTTTCAAACCTCAACAGGTTCTTTCCAAGCAAACTCTGAAAGGATCGTCAACCGACTCAATGAGGAAATGAAAACACAAAACAACTCAAGCCCAATTGATTCGGAAAAAACGCGGCTTGAACATGGTGATGATTTTTAAAGTGTCTGTCGAAAAAAATGCGAAACGATAACCGAATTAAAAAAGCGGAGCAGCGGCTCGAAACAGCTGGGTCCTGAAACTGCGCGCCCTGACAAATGACTAACTAAGTTTAGTTTTCGTAACGTTAAAAGCCCGCGTCTGAAAATCATCGAGGGGAAACGCTACAACGACCGCGACGATTTTATGATGACGTACGCAAATATCTGCATAAAGGTTTTTTATTATCATTTGTTTTTTATTGCGCGAGGAGACGCTCCCGGATGCTTTTATTAAAAAATGTTTACAAGGCAGATAAATCAGCCTAAATTGACGATGTTTTAAGGAAATAATGCAGGCATATCCTATTTACACCTGGGTGATATTAAGAGTACTGGAATGGTTCCTTGAGCTACCATTGGCAATTATGGAATTAACAACTTTAAAATTATAATCAAAATACTTTCAGAAATTAAGAATGAACATGTTTGTTTACGACCAAATTACATGTGACATATTTGGATACTACAAAGAGTTGTTTGTTTTTTAGTCTTTGAATTTGATAAACTGTGATTTGCAAAAAATTACATAAAAGAATGAAGTACAAAGTAAACGAAATGAAAAATCTGAAAGTAAATCTTTGTTACGTGACTGAATGGAAAGCTGTGATTGGGTGGTTGGACATGTTTGCATCTGATTAGAATCCTTTAGCAGGACTTCACCAGCAGATGCTTTACCAGCAGATTAAGAAAGCTATTTTTCCAATTATTCCTTTTCTTCAAAACCCATAATAATGTATCTGCTTTAGAGACATAAAGATTGTCCGGTCAAAACCAAAATTCTCCCTCTAATCAGATTTTTCAGGAGAGCAAAAACCTGTTTTCAAATTATGATCAAAATACTTTCAGAAATTAAGAATGACATGTTTGTTAATGACCAAATTACCTGTGACATATTTGGAACCTTCCAAGAGTCTTCGTATTTAATAAATTGTGATTTGCAAAACATTACATAAAAGTACAAAGTAAACAAATCGAAAAACGAAAAATCTGAAAGTAAAACTTTGTCACCTGACTGAATGGAAAGCTGTGATTGGTTGGTTGGACATGTTTGCATCTGATTAGGTTAGCATTGTCAACGTAAAGGGATAAATATTTGGGACTACTCTGGTGAGATTCTAATAGGACCTGGGACACATGTATATATTTTAAAAAATGTAATTGTTAACACAAAATCTAGATGCATATAGTTTTTCTGGGAAATGTTAAGGAAATCATATATTCGTTATTAAATTTCAAGACTTAAAGAGTATATTTTCTTGTTGGGGAATTTCAAAGTTTGTTCTAAAACTTGGGGTGCATTGAATCAAAGAAAACCATGGGTGGAACAATCGAAATTCCGAAGCCTTAATTTGTTTTAAGTTCCCCTTGATATGACCAATGATAAGAAAAGGGAATACTTTCGGCCGGGCATTCAGGATTTAATTTATAGAAAATTTGCATGGGTAATCTTGCAGAATTAAAAGGCGAACCTGGACAAACAATGAGCGGATTCTGATCGTGATTTACAGGCACCTGGATATTTTATTAATTAAATTTGGAGATTGTGTCCATAAAAACACTAATACAAAGAAGATTAATGTCTTTCGTTGAGGGTAACGAGGAAAAAATTAAATTAATGCTGTGGGGGTTTTGCGATTTCCTTTCCATTTATTCCTCCGACATAATACGGTTGGGATGCTTAATTTTTTAATGGCCAAATGCTTTTAAAGATCTAGTCAAGTTACGCTGAATATTTAAAAGTAATGCCTGGCTTTCAGAGTTCAGAGCACATTAGAGCCGAATTTATGAAATATATTACTTCAATTCGCCGGGCCACAGGTGCCACAGCCCAACACTGAAATGATTAATATCGCACTGAAGAAAAAATTACTCTCCTTTTAGGATCCTTGAAATAAACTAATCATTAAGCAAGTGTATTTTTACGCACACAAGATAATTAATATTATTCCGAAGATGAATACATTAAGGATCGTATGGCCGCGCGGCGGGAATTCGCTGACATTAACGACCTTAGCAGTCTTTTGTTTCTAAAATACGATTCCTCTAATTAGTCATAATTATCCATTGACAGTTACAAATTCGCACGGGTCCTTGGGGAACCTCCTCTCGATGCTCGGGTCATACGATACTTTTTTCAAATTTGCATCAGTTTTAAGATGAGATGATAACATTAATATTCTTGTACCTGTAAAATATCAATCTAATATTCCCTCTCTTTGGGCACATGTCTAAAACAGAAATGAAAATAATTAAATAATAATGAAACAAGAATACAACAGAGGGGTAATGATTGCATCAAAGAAGGGGTTAAGATTCAAGAACAATCGCCCTTTTAAATTAACGACTTTAAAACGCTCCACCAAATGCAAAATTCACTTGACCGATTCCAAAGGGCTTTCAGCGTATTTTGATTAGTCATAGACATAATTTAAACGAACTAATACTGATAGTAATCTAAATATGAAACGGTAGCCTCGACTTTTCGATTGAATTTTGATTGTAATAAATTGATTCAACTCCATATCCATAATGACGAGGCGTTAAGTTATTTATTAGGAACCACAAAAAATACAATCAACATTCTGTTCTTAATTCTTAAAATCTCAAGGTTTAAACCACTACATGTATTTAATTTAAACTTTTTTGTTTTCTCAATAATCACTATATTTCATCTTTATCATAAAAATATACAAGGTGTTATGTAATTAATGTTATATATTAAAATGGGTTGTTCCTTAGGGTCCATAAAGAAGCACTGGAAACTTTTTTTTTCTAAATTCCAAAGTCTAAAAATAGTTTATAATAACCTTTATCCTACCAAAAAGTACGCCACTGATCGACTAGGAACTTTAGGTTAATCTGGTGGATTTATTATGTTATGGTTGGTAACAACAGTGTTTCCAAAATCTCTTAAAAAAGTTGACAAACATTGTTTAAATTTAGCATAATTACAAAAATGACAAAATTAACAATGCAAATTGTCAATTTGGCGTTTTTATTAATTGTTGGTTATTTCATTTTTGTACTGAAGGTAAATTCAAACAAAATCTGCTAACTTTTATTACAGAATCTAGTGCATTTCTTTTAAATTTTAGGTTATGTTTTCAAATTGTAAATATCTTAACTAAGGGAAGTGCTTTTGGATTTATTTACACAAATTAAATGTTTAAAGTTTAACCTGTGAACTGGTCCCAATTTCATCTGAGTAAACAGAAAGAAAAAAACTGATGAAAAAATTAATTTTGTGGTTATGGATTTTTTAAAATAGGTACTAAATTTTCTAATCATTGCTTAAGCTAATAGCTGGATGAGTAAATAAATACAGAAGGGTATTAGAGCTTTAAGGGCATAAAACTTTGGTATTTATTGAGTTTTTATTTATTTTTTGCAAGAAAAATTTTTAGTAACAATTTTTTACATCTGGCAACGCATAGCTACTTTGTTGGTTGGTATCTATGTACTCAGAAAATACAGGTGTGCAGAGATAAACAAGTGTGTAACCAGTGGCGTATCACAAAAAATATAAAAAACTTCTAATGCATATTTTTTCTTTATCTTTGGAAAAATGTTTTTTTAAATATTTTTCCTTTATTCCTTATGTCAAAAGGTATTCAGTATTTTAATATATAACATTAATTACATAACACCCTGTATGATGCAACTCTTCAGTCAGCTTTTCCAAATCTTCTCATTTCTAGTGAACGGTGTTCCCTTCTATCGTCCACAATTAGCAAAAGTACATCTGTTTTAATTAGCATGACATTCGCAAATAACTTTTGATCCAACGAGATCCTTCTCCCTTTTTTAATGGGCCCGAACAGCATGGGTCCGCAACGATTTAAAATTCTACGTTTGCTCGCCTCGCGCTGCTGATTAACTCCCTCCTCGCTCCCCCTTGTACTACTGCTGCAAGTGATGTAAGAAACGGTTTTCATCAACTCGCCAGGTTTTATTAACTCGTTGACTGCGAGTCTATGCTAATATTCGACAACATAGAGAATTCGGGGTGATATGGGCGAGATATATGATGATACAAGTTGTGAGTAGAGTAAATTCGTGTATAAATAAAATCTTGGGGCGATTTATAAACAGCTCAGGTGCGGCGCGTAAAACCTTTTAGATGATAAAAACGATAGACGGGATGATTTTTTTATTACACCTCGGCGAATGCAGATTTTCTTTGGCTTGTAGCAGGTGTATTTCGGGTGTATAAATTGAGAAACATTGCTAAAAAGCTAAGTGGATAATGCTAAAAGTCATAAACGTCTTTTTCGGGGAAGTGAAATTGTTGGAATTGAGATTTGTGAGTTGTAATTTCGTTTCGTAGTAATTATCGTGCGTTAAACAAATTGATGCAAAAAATGCAAATTGACGAATTTGTAAATTCGGTTTAACAAACAAAAGGGCACAAATTATATTCATAAACAGAGCAGAGCCGCGGTGGTGTTCATTATAATTTCATTATAAATGCATTACAAACGAAAAATGGCACGCAATACTTGAATTTAAAACGTTGAATTCAAACATACATCTGTCGAATTGAGCATATCCACTAAAATCCTCTGTATACGTGTGTTAGGCGAGGCTATTTTAATTTAGACAGAGATTAGCTTAGAAATAGGTTTCAATTTAGAGGCGACACCCGGATAATTGGATTTGAAAGTGTATTAGAAACGTTGTGACAACGTATTAAAAGATCTTTATCGCCCAACACCGATGTATTCATTCGCTGAGCCATTGTCTTCGTGAAAGGATACAAATTTAATATGATTTTCTCAACGGAAAATTTCTGTCTTTTCAGGTTAAGGGAGGAAAGATGCGACCCAGACAGACCGCTACCTTTGGACCAGAAACCAAGGGATCTCAGTCCCAGAAACGGTAAGAAAGATTTACATTGCATGGTTCCAGCGGACATTTGTTTTCTACATAATCAACTATTCTGAAAGATTATATCTTAACCTTAATATTGGCACAGTTTATTAAGTAGAAACTCAGTCTTATGGAATATTTCAACAGTTAAGTACAGAGATAGTTTTTGACAAAGAGCATGGGTTTTTCTGTGCATGCAAACCATGTGTGCCCCTTACCAAAACGTTCTTTTAATTGTATTCCAGATTGGCGTTCTAAGACTAATTTTAATACTCCGAGTTGGTATTCGAAAGGTCAGTATTTTTAATTGAAATGAAAAGGTATGCAATTAAAAGAGAAAACATTCGTTTTATTAAATTTTTGTACATACGCGAAGAGGAATGGAATTTATGAGGGGTCAATTAATTAGCTGGAGGTGTAAAGAGAGTAAAAAATGAAAAGGCTCGCGTTTAGAGTAATATAAAATCGGTTAATTGTCGTGCCGGCCATTAATCTGGGGCGGAATAAAACACGAGGGCGAGTTTGGGATTGATGAATTCATTTTACTCCGATTTACGCTTTCTACATATGCGAATTTAATTGTTTCAGCCTGCAGGGTTATTTATTAGGGCCTCTTTTCAAATCCCAGCTATTAATCTCGAATAAAACAACATTTTTCTCCGCTCTTACTGAACATGTACATTTTATTAACTGGAGAAGAATCGATGATGCTTTGTATAGGGGGGTAAGATGAGCGAGATGTATAATACATCGTATTTTTTCTATTGAAGGTTCTCCTACTGAACACAGTCCAGTTTTGAACCTTTCCAAGAGCGGGGGCGGAAGCGCCGGTTCTCTGGGCGATGCCGACCATTCAGGTAGCGAAGCTGACGGTCCAGACGCACCTCCATCGCCCAGATCGCCCAGATCAGCTGCGGAAGACGATGAAGAAGATAACATCAGCGATCCAGAGGAGGAGGACGAGAAAGATCAAGGTAAGGATAAGGGATTTTTGAAGGTGACCCAGTCGAAACTGGTAATTCTTATTTCAGATATGGACGATTCAGACATCCCTCTACCTCTCCCAGTAGCCTCCGGTGCAGACAGCCCGCAAGCCGCCCTGAACTACTCCACCCTGGCGGCAGTGGCCGCCAACGGGCCCAGCCAAGACCCGAGCATCTCTTCCACGGAAACCCTTTTGAGAAACATCCAGGGTCTCCTCAAAGTGGCGGCAGATAACGCGCGTCAACAGGAAAGGCAGATCAACTACGAAAAAGGTACAAATAGTAATATGGTCTACCTTCTATCGCTAGCGCAGTATTACATGTATCTGGCGGCCACACAAAAGTGTTAATTTTTTATCAAAAAACGTTTATAAATGTATATTAATCAGTTGTTAATTCGTATGTTCCGTAAGACCGTTAGCCTAGTCACTTCAGGTTTTATCCGATTAACAAAGAGACGTCATGTTTGCAAATATCTTGCTTTTATGGGTCAAAAGTCAAAGTGTGATATACCAAGTGCTTAGCACCGTTGACTTCCAAACGCAATATTTCCTTAGTAAAAATTTTGTGGAAAAGACTGCGATTAGCAGGAAGCAAGATATTTTCAAAAAGCTACCCCTGTTCCTAAAGTGGCTGGTCTACGTGGCTCAGGATGTCAAGTTGTCCATTTTGTAAATATTATTTGAGCCGACTTTGTAAATTATTCTCTGCCCATATCGACTTGTACTACAGTAATTTTTAAGGTTTTAGCTTTGCTAGTTGTATATATGATATACGAAAACAGGAGGGATGTTTTAATTTTTCGAATCATTGAATGGTTTGTGGCAAACGTAAGATGATTAAGATGTCCTCTGTTGTATCAAAAGTTTTAAAAGTAATTGTTAGAGGATGGGCACAAAAACTTAAAGCCTGATGTTTCAGTGATGGAATTTAGTTATTCTGTCGGATGGTTTTTAAAAAATATTTAATAGTAATGTGCCATTTTTTCCCAGTGTTAATAGAGTAGACGTTTATTTAAAAAAATACTAGTTAATTTAACTTAAAATATTTATATACTATTATTATTTTTATTATTATTATTTAAGAACTATTCCACTACTTATACACTGTGTGGCCAAAAATGAATTTATCAATACCTTGAATTTAGACATATTTATGGCGTTCGATATAAAAATGTACAAAAACACCTTTAATGAATTTTTGTTGACCCTCAAACGCCATAGAATCGATGTCTAAAATACTTTGGTGTTCTGTAAAATGACATTTTTGTGCTCATAGTGTTCTGGAAGAGTTTTTTCCGAAAAATTTCGCTATATTCCATTCTGTAAATATTTTCTCTGGACTATACCGAAATTTTGATGCACCAAAAATAAAGCCGCCTCTTTTGCGTGGCGCTACTAGAATTAGGTAATAAATGTGTGATGTACATGTACATGTTATAACAATTTCAAATTGAGAAAAATAAACGAAATTATTAAATACATTAAGCGTGTTTCATTTTCTTTCTGGGTGGGTGATTTTTTCAGTTTCAAAATTGGCATACCTTTTTAGACGGGGACAAGCTATAAAAATAGGTAGGTGGCACCATTTTTTCAATTTTTCTATGTTGTCGATAAGTGTTACCAACTAACAGACACTAAATTCCAGCACTGAACACTCAGTTGCTTGATTTTTATAATTGCTTTTGCCTGGTTTTGATTATGTTCATAATACGGTAAGTATACTTGCTTTTTTTAAGTATCAAGTTTTTCACAGAATGTTTTAAAGAAAAATTTTAAATAGTATCAACTTCACTATGTTTTGTTAAAGACCTATTATGAAGGGCATATTTAAGATGGATTTTCCTTTCATACCTTAGGTTGCATACCAGTAAAGTTTGTGATGGCGCAGTAAAAAGTAGATTCTACAGGATGTAACCTAATACAATTTCATCCTTTGGGGTGATGTATGATTTTTGCATTAGAGGTACTGCTTTTTAATAAGAAAAATTATGCACTAATGCAAAAATGATAGAGGATAGAGGATAAAGGATGACAATTTTGGTATTTGATTTTACCGTGACTTAAACCTATTTTAATCCTATTTCAAATAAACCTTAACAAACCAAATATGATCCATTTTGATCGATGAACTTTTGTCATTTTACTGGGAGCAGAAAAACGTTTTCAGAGATCAAAAGCAATGGTTCAAGGTGCTATATGGTAGATAGATTAACTTACAAATATCTAATAAAGTTCTCTCAATTTTTGAGATGAACAAAGTGAAGGTGTTCGTTCACTGTTAAACATGTGGCACCATACATCGAGCTTTCTTTTGTAAATAGCCTTCTGCAAATGGTTAAAAGGTATTTGGTGATGAATGTTTAGTTTCTTAGCAATATGAACACTGCTTAACCAGTCTTGCTCATCTGATCGGTATACTAGAGCTTCTTTATGATACAGCTCTATTAGAGTTTCTATTAGACTTATGAATCATCTTTGTAAAATGACAGTATAATTATTGTTGTGGAAACCAGGAATCAACAGTATCAATTTGTTACGTTACATAAGATCATAAAACAGTAATTTTTATAGAAAGTAAAGATGTCTTTATAAATTGCCGACCTTTCCAAACACTAAATCATTTTTGTTTGCAAAAATTATCGTTATGAATAAAATTAATTAATTTCTTAGAATAGTTGATGAAAGGAAAACAAGCATTAAAGTACGTCTGATTTATATCATAATGACATCCGTTATTACGAACGATACACTGTAAACAATCTGCATAATTTTTCGATTGGAAATTATTGTTGAAATAAAATACAACTCGATTTTCTCCCTCTCGACTGTTTCTCGCATACACAAGCAGTCGAAGTTTTTAAACGTTTGCGAAAAGATGCTATCGCCGAGCCTTAAGGAACAATTTGATACGGTAGACCGTGTAGAGTGTACCACATCGATTATTCAGTAACGTAAAGTTGCTTTTTCACTAATTTATGGCTGCCAGTACGTTGTATTATGCATGCAGCAACTTTAACTAAAGTGGAAAACAGAATCTGAAATTATAAGAAATCGGTTTCAAACTTCATACTAATGTCTCTAGAAAAAATAAGTTAACTCTTTTTAAATGTGAAGATATAAAATTATTTTAGGATTTTAGATTAGAAAGAGCGATTTTCATAAACAAAATTTAAGATTCACTTTAGAAAAATGAGGATATTATTTTTGGGTTTAATAAAAATTTCTTATTTTTTATTAATATACCTACCTTGATCTTTTTATCACAATAGCAAATTGTTTGTTAAAATAACAAGACGAGTTCATTACAATAAAAATTTGTTTATGTATTATTTATTGATACCTGCGCTCTCCACCACTGCTCTCTTTAAAGGTCACGAGCCGCCACTGGGGTATATACAGGGTGAGTCATTTTACTTGAAACTTTAGTTTTGCAATTTACGAAAAAATGTTTAAAATAAAAATTGGTCCTCATACTCTCCTCCTTATAGGGGGAACAGGGGGTAACTTTAAAATTTACAATGGAACATCCTATTTCTTATTGCAGATTCGGATCATTCGACTAAAAATAGGTAGTTTTGTCTAAAACATGTTTTCAGATGGCGCTGTAATAAAAAAAAATCAATTTTGTTAGATTTTTCTTCTGTATGCGATTCTCCAATAATTTTTGAATAAAATACTTGGTTTAATTTTTTAAATTTATTTATTTTTTAAATTTTAATTAAAGTAGGTGCTCAAAATGGTGGCCTTCGATTTCAATGCCTTTATTAATTCGCATTTCATTTTAATATTCTGCTAACACTGCTCTGGGATATTCCCAAATCTCTAGATAATTCTCGTGTGCTTGCATGAGGATTAGCGGCCGTTGCTGCTAATACATTAATTTCATTATTTCCACCTGTGACTGTTGCTCGACGAACTCTTTTTTTTTTCGGTTGAACACTCCCGTTTGTAGTAAACTGCTTGACTGTACGGTGAAATGAAGTACGTGATCGAATTTTGTCCGGAAAACGCTGAGCGTAGATATTAACAGCATCATCAAGATTCCTGCCTGCTTCTCCATAAATCAAAATCATTTCTAATTTTTCTTCCACTGTTAAAAAATCCATTATGAATAACTGCTTAACGAAAGGAGGTTTTTGTTTGCAAATTAATCTTCGAACTAAATTGATTAAATAATGCTAAACTATGTATAAACAGTTTCTTTATACCTCAATAATAATTATTATTTATAACTAAATACCTCAATCAGGATTAAATTAATTAATTGACAAAATAATGTTTTTTTTACCTTAAATGAGATATTTTTATTAAAAATAGTACAATAATCCTTTAAATTAAAGGAAGTAATGCTGGCAGGTAAAAAGTGACCATGGTGCGCAATTGATAATTATCACCGAATGAAATAATGTATAAAACTTAAACCAAAGGAAACTTAGATATTAGTTAAAAAAATCGTGGGTACTTAAAAAAATCAGATTTAATTTAATAAGTTAATTATTACCAAAAAAAGTGATATTTTTATAGAAAAATTATTACAGAAGAACAAAAGAAAAATCGAACAAAATTGATTTTTTTTTCTTTACAGCGACATCTTTTACAAATATGAAAAAATGCTTTAGACAAAATCTACCTACTAATTGATTTCCCCCCTGGAATCATTTAATTTTTATTTTAAACATTTTTTCATAAAATGCATACTTACTAACTGGGATATTTCAAAGGTTCAAGTTAAATGACACCCTGTATGCAATAAAAAATTTCGATTGCATTAATTTTTTATTCGTAGAATTCCGAGAGCTGCAAAAATCAGGTAAACAATGTATTCGTATCATCTTTTTAGGGTCGTAAAAAATTTACGACGGCAGTGTTGCCATTAGTAGGTATCCTTGTGTGTTCTTTATGCCGCGTTGGGCATTAACATTGCTCATTTAATGCCGTGCAGCATTTAAAAAATACGATGACAGTGCCCGGGTATTATTGGCGGACCCATAAACTTAATATTAATACTTAAAAATTTAATTTATTGCCACTTTTAAAATTCCCATTAAGGAAGGAGTAGTAAAAAATTAGTGTTTCTGCATTTCTGCGTTCTCAACAATCATTTTATAATATTATAAGTTATAGTATTATTATGCATCAAGTTTGATAAACGACAGACACGAGCGAGTGTTTAATTAAATGAGTGTTTAGCAAAGTTTATAAACTTTTTTTACGACAAATTTACTTAAATACATATTATCGAAAAAATTATTTAAATAAGGATTATTTTTTATTTTTGGTTGTTTCACTGTTGGTCTAGAATGGGGTTTTTGGGAAGCCACCAGGTCTAATAATAACATAACATAAGTGGTTCTGCACTAATGCAAGAATTTTAAGAAATTATACATTTTGAATATTATACCTTCACGGTAGATAGATTCACGGAGGTTAGGATTTCGTATGTTTTTTTAAACATCCCTTTGTATATTTGAAATAAGTTATGGTATCTTTTGACACCTTAATATTTTTTAAAAATATTTACAAAGGTGATCCCCTATAATGTCGCCCCCCTTTAACTTTTTTATTTTAAGTGTCCCAAAAAATTTAAAAGTTTGGTTATGTAGGAACTAAAAAATACTTTTTTTCTACCTTTAAAGAAAATTGGAAAATTGATCAGTATACAGGGAAAAACAAAAAGTTTATTTTTTTTTCAATGGATCACCCTATATATGAATTTATTTTTCGATTCCTTGTAAAATTCTGAGCATAATTCATATAACAAACCATATACCTAAATTCAACTGTTTCTGAAATATTCGCATTCGAAATGTTATCATTAAATGTTTTTTTAAACGGTTAGAAATCAAGCGGCCTCAGTATACCAAAATTTTTATTGAAAATAAATTACTATAGTGACATTATGTCAATATGTCTTGTTAAATAAGTAAAAATGACGTACTCAGACAGAGAAAGACATACTATTTCAACTTATTATCTTAAAAATAATTTAAATATTTCAGAAACGGTTAAATTTATGTTATATGAAATATGCTTAGAATTTTACAA